TCCTTACTATGCTTTACAATAATAGTATAGTATTTAATGTAGATTCATTAACACAGTATTGTTTCAACAAAGTTCTGTAATTAAAATTGAGTATGTGTGATCAACATAATCATATTCTGCAGTCATTCCTCCATTTTCCTTGAAGTTGCTTTGTCAGTTATTTGGAATGACTAATAATGGGGCAGATTCCTATTATTTGCAAACACTGTGTACACTGTGCAAAGTCACTGTAGCTATATATCTCAATTATAGTTTACTAATTACACTGGCAGGTTCACATATAATGCCAAACTAAAACCCAGCAAGCCACATTATGGTTTAGTGAAAAATTACTTAAAATGTCAAATATTTTCTTCTCATTATACTCTCTACACACATTCTATATTCCAGAGAAGATCTGTAAGGCTCTAATTCAGATACTAAACACGTGCTGCATTTAAAAAACCTCAGGTTCAATTACTTCCTTTTCCTGTCAAGACTAAGAAAAACAGATTTTTAATTCTAGAAAGCTGCTGCTAAGAGTATGGATAATACTAAACTAAATAAAGTCAGAATTTCATTCCATACATTAGTCATCCATGTTTTTTAAATAGATAATGTAAAACACAGGTGGCTAGTATATGGAATGAAAATCTTACTTTATCTAGCTCGGTACTGTCCATGGTCTAGCAGCAGCTCTCTTAAAACCATGGGATTGGATGGAATACATACATTGGCTACCTTGAAGCACATTAGCTCCCCTTTTGGGTTAATAATCAGCTATCCACTCAAAATCTCATGAAATATAGACTGTTGCCAAATGGAAAAATGGCTCAATTTCCCCAATATACAAGCATACTTTCATATATTACATACATACATTAAAATTATATTTCTCTTCACATATATTTGAAGCTATTCAGTGTCACTTAACACAGTGGGATGGGCAACCATTTGGTCATTAAATAAATAAAAATATTTAGCTTCATAACTCATGCTGACATGAAAAAATGAAATAGTCATATCTAGGAGCTCTAAATGCTAACAAAGAAAAATAACCATTGAAATTGGCAACTTCTATTTGGCAGATATGCACAAGAACATATCTTATATATTAAGAGTATGAAATCTTCACACAATTAAGTATTTTATTCTTAATCCNTCGGCCGTGGCCAGGGGGGCGTTTTACCGGGTACGCCTGGTTCACCAGTTGCGGCCTTTTCTGGACCGGGACGCCTTGCGCATAGTCACCCATGCTCTTGTCACCTCCCGCCTGGACTACTGTAATGCTCTCTACATGGGGCTCCCCTTGAGGAGCATTCGGAGGCTCCAGTTAGTCCAGAATGCAGCCGCGCGGGCGGCGATGGGAGTAATACTGATTAGTCATTTAATAAAACAACAGATTTTACCAGTTAGTAAGACAAATTTTGTCTTAATTTTGCTGAACCCTCAATACAGTAATTTTATATTAGGAAATAACTCTTCCCATTTTTAATTAAGCAAAATAGAGCTAAAAGAAAAAACTGGATTTTAATTGCCCTTGTCCCCCAAGAATATTTTTCCCTTTAAACATTTCTTTAGGAAGGGCTGAATTTTCTGTGCCGACAGATTATCGTGCACCTTAGGTTCTGAAATTACTTTATTAATTTTATAATTTATACGTAAATTACTTTATATAAGTTCATGGTGTGCTAAAGCCAAAAAATACACTGATAGCTTGATCAGTGTGGGAATGATTACAGCATTATAATCAAAGTGCTATATCTCTTCAAAGGATGGGATTCATCAGATGTGACTCAATGCTATCCTAGAAATTATAGTCTAGGACAATACAAGGAGAATCATAACTAAAAGGCATTCACAAATTTAGCACCTATATTTTGTGTTCATAGACTAAGATGTCTTCAATTTGAGTTTGATTCATGTTGTTGCATCCATGGTTTCCTCAGAATATTATGCATTTTTCCAGGATGATTTTTTTGACTTCTCACTCTAATCAAGAGCCCTGGAATTCTTAGGCACTTTTTTCTCTTTTCCAAATACTAACCAGGACCAGCCCTTCAGTTTCCAAGAAAAGCCACAATCATGTGCTGTCACCTATATAAATTAGAAAGATCTGACTTTAAGAAATAATTGTGAACCAAGCCATGGATTCATTGAAAGAGGAGCATTTCCACTGCAGGAGAGATTGTGCAGATGGGTAGGCACTGTTCAGGAAAAAAATGGTTTTGGCTCAGCACAAAATTTACCACAAAGAATGAAAATGACATAATATTAAAGAAAAAAAAGAGCAGTTGGACATTTTAAGAGATCTTTATTGCAGACTGACACAGATAACTTCTGAACTTTTACAACCTATTTATTTATTTGAAGCAATCAACAAAATGTTATCGTAAACTAGGCAATGTTATCGTAAACTGTCCTTAAAACTAGGCAAAGAAGTGGGAAAGAATGATTTAAAGTACTACAAATCCATCGAAAATCTCCATTTTGGCTCAAGTTCCAGTTCTGAAATTAGTCCAAATAGGCATGTCTTCTCTATCCTGAACATAAGTATCAGATGATGATATTCTTCAGGCAATGTTAATTTGATTAAAAAGCTTGTCCTTAATAACTTGAGACATCAGTCCATGTATTGCTTCTATTGTGGTTTTGCAGCTGAGAGAAAAACAAAAACATAAATTAAATGGCTGAATGAACTTTGTCATTATATTGCAAGTTAGTCACATGTCCTAGTACAGTTTCCATAATTGCATAAATGTTATCATTTAGTTATGAAAAAGCAAATACAGTATTTTACAATCAAAAGGAATTAAAAAATAACATTCTCTTTAAGTAGCCGTACAACGGTACAAATTATAGACCTGAACTACAATATAGAAAACATTGTATGTACTATGCTATTGGGCAGCGTGGTGGTTCAGTGGTTAAGATGTTGGGCTTGTG